CGTGGGAATAATTCTCTGTTGTTTAAGTGCCTGCGTGCGTGTTAGAACAATGTATGCCGATCAGACAGGGTATGCTGTTCTGACAGAACACCAGCTCTGTTGTTCCCACAGCATGTCGATCGGAGCCGAGGCGGTTTTAACGTGGGTCGCTCGCCGAGTCATTTGACCTGGGTGGACACGCGTCAGTGAGCTGCTCTCACTGCCACTAAAAGCTGATTGTTCTTGGGTTTAAAGTGGTTTTTCAGCCAGTGGGAAAGAGGTACAAGTGACCAACGCCCATCTTAAATGAAATACTTTACCACATGTATGTCTCAAAAGCAATAAAACTTTTAAAAGGCAATGTTTTGGATAGGCAAAGATCAGCAATTATATAAGGATCTCAGCATGCATTTTCATTGGGGTTGAAATTCGGGGTTGAAAATCGCTGTGAGCTATGTGTTCAGAACAAGCAGCTCTCTGCTTGAGTTGTAAGTTTACAACATTTCCACTGCAAACTAGTTTTAACTCACGTTTATTCATTCAGCACACACTATTCTTGTGCACTCAAAGCACATTTACATTGAATACCACATACATGAATCCTAAATGTCTCTCTTACTGGTCAGAGGGTCATTAGGGATCATTCCCTCACATTCCTGCATGTCTGCCTGAAACCTCTACCTCCCCTTTCTGTCTTTTTATGCAGACGAATTAACATTGCTAAACACTCATGCACATTCAAACATGTCCCTACATCCCCTGCCGCTCCTCCGAACCGTCTCTCTAGGCAAATTAACATTAGAGAACAAACATGTTTCTCCTCCCTGCTTCTCTCTTTCCCTTCCTTTGTCCAAATTAGCTTTAGTAATTACTGAGATTTACACACTAAACCCTTTTCCTTGTTTTATCTTTGATGTTTTAATGTTTTCTTTTCCATGGGAATTTCTATTTTGTAAAAAAAAATCTTGTCTTTGCTTTAATTTCCCCTCAGACATTTTGACACTGATGACCACATAGATGTCCCCTTAGCCGCACCCTCTATCTTTAGTTTAGTGCAATGGGAGCCTTTGTTAGGATTTGCACAAAGTCAAATGAAGAAAAAAGGAACAAAAATGTAAAATGTGGACCTCCAATAGACTCCAATTAATTTAAAAATCTTCCATCCACAAAGATACCACAGACACACACACACCCATCAGCAGCCCCAATCAGCCCAGAATAAATCCGCGGCAGATCTAATTACTGTGCCGTCTCTGAAGACCCTGGTCGTCGCAAAGCCAATCTTCAACTCCTTGTTTGAACAGGCTGATGAACTAAGGGACTTGATGGATATCAAGTCATTTTGTTTAATTTATAAATGGATTTCCCCCTAATGCTTAAATTATCATCAGCATGAGAGAAGACAGAGTGAGGGCACAATGAAAAGCATTTGGAAGGTAAAAAAGTCTTGAACATGTGGTGCAGTGGGGGGGTAAGATAAATGAAGCAGTGAAGGAGACAGGGCAAAAAAAGAAAATAAAATCCAGAGAGAATTGCAATCCCCCCACTTTGGAATAATGAAAGTGTTGCATTCAAAACCGCAGCAGTGAATGAGGAGATATTAGAAAGCAAGAGAACTTTATCAAAGTTAGATTAAGGGCAGATACTCAAAAAAAATCTGAAAATGAATCCGCCGCTGCTCACCTGCTGCCACACTGATGCTGTTCAGTCAGTGAAAAATGTGCAGAGGTGGGACACACTTGGTGAGGTATATCCCACCTCTATCTGTCCCTGGTGAGGTGAAGCGTCTTCTCTCAGTCAGCTCGCTTTTTATTGATTCTTCTAACACTTCAAAACACGAGATGTTTGAAAACATTGATTGTGTTTAAACTGATTTTAGGAGTGAGGCTGTGTGTGATTGTCTCCTGTATTCTCTGCATTGCCCTATAAAGGTAACTGGATGGGGATGTACCCCCGCTCTCACTCATTAGCCCTATTTCCACTTAACCTGACTCCGCCAGATGGATTTGCTCCGCATATCCATCTGGAAACCTTCCGTTGAAGAAATTTTTGGAAGGGGCGAAAATACTGGTTAGCTGATTGGCCTATGTTGGTGATAGACGGGCCAAATAAACCAATCAGATCAACGAAGCATATGACGTACTAACA